TTCACTCTGCCCACATGCTGGTTGTGTGGGAAGAAGCCGAATGTTTAAAAACTGTTAGATAGAAGGAGATAGAAAGGTTATGATTTATGTCTGTGTGAGACGAATGTCTCAGCCACTGTCCCCATCCGTCTCCTCATCCCTCTGGCAGCCACGGGCTAATGCATTAATCCGTCTGCCTGCCGATTGCGGAAGGGGGAAAAAAGAGTGCAATAATCGTTTATCAAGTCCAGCTTGGGGCCCACGAGTCAACCATGAGGGAGGGGGCTTTCATATTCATCCTGCTTTATTGTCCCTTCTTTGCCTCACCACCCGGCCGGACAGTTATGAGGGGAACAAGTGAGCAGCGCATATAAAACCACTTGTAAGCAGGAGGATAAATGTCAGTCAATGAAAGACCCCTTACTGTCAGGAAGGCCTTCCTAAGGGAGTAAACAAGCTCAGGGTTCACGGTCTCTCCTGCATGCTTCTGAATCAAGTTTTTTTTTTACAAGCTTTTGAAGAGATATTCATGATGTGGGGAAATGTTTATATGAGCGTAATGCTTCTCAGTTCGGATTTTAAGTGATTCATGCTCCACATTAAACTCTCTGAACTGAACGCTAACAGCTCCTGTTTTTACTGTTCGATGCATTATGCTTCTGTGGGAATAATTCTCTTGTTATCTATCTCTTCACTGCACTTTCTTATTTTATGGTTCATGTCATATGCTCTGTTTTAATGGTCTTATTTTATGGAGAGAATAAGTCACTTTAACAGTCTGTCATTTGTCTATATGACATCATTTTCTATTTCTGGATGTTTTCCAGAATATATTTAGTAGGTAAGGTCGGGGGGGCGGGTCTTAGGTTTTGTTTGATGTGTGCTGTATTTTACCCTTACACACTGAAGAGATAAGCATCAGGTTGTCTTTTACTTTTTATGAGCAACAGCCCTGACTCTGTTCTCTGTTTTGCCACAATATTTCTCCTGTTTTATAATCTCTCCACCTCTCTTTGCTTTCACCTCTAGCTTCTCCTTAGGAGACATGACATGACTTTGGAAGGGAGGGAGAAAAACAAAACTTCAGGCATCATGTATACTTACATCTAACACATACAGTGTTAATGGAGCACCCTATGACAAAGTTTTTTGTTTAATACGCTCTTATCACTGTTTCAAGACTGGATATTTACATTTGTTATCCATTCTGTTTAAGATGTGTGCTTTTGATGGTTAGTATTCTGCTTTGTAGTATTCTTGTAACCAATCAGAATCAAACCCTAATCACATCAATCAAAAGAATACCTGCACAAAATGCATTACAGCTGTAATGTACTGGTTAATATTTGCGTATTTCAATATGTTTCCCAAAAATGTTGTTTTGTGAAAATGTTTATAACATTTACAGTAACCCTGTTGACCCTAAAGGCAGATGGTAGAATTTTATTTTTGCTTCGTGGTTTTATAAGCTTAATGCAAGTTAAGGCTGCAGTTCAAATGAACTAGGATCTAGTATATCTTGTCCAATTATATTACTATACTACTAACACTTCTTACATATAGTACTTACATAGCTTTTCCAAGTAGCCACACTCGAAGGTGGGGCAAAAAGCCTGCTGTCATAGACAGAGGCGAGATGTCGTAATCCTTAAAATATGGTGATAATGGTGCACGCTTTCAGACCATCTTTCCTGGAATGCATTGATTCATGAAAATGATGAAAGTAGCTGTGTAGGATAAAAAAGGAGATAAGTTAAAACACTGCTTTCTCACCTGGCCAATCACTAAAGTGAAGTGGGAATGGAAAGTTAAACAAACAAAAAATTATTTAGATCTGACAGGTGTGGAAGGAGGGGATTTTAGACATTACAGAAATCTGATAAGCACTGTCTTTAATCAATATCAGACTGAGGCTCACTTCAGCTGGGCAACAGCATCTGGTATGTGGTGATAGTAAGCCTTCTGGGTCTTAATGTGGATAGAGTTCAGGCACATAGCATTTCATGGAAAATGTTCAGCAGGAAAACATGTACTGTAACTGGAAAGCTCTGATTGTCTAATAGTTTCATGTGAAAGTTAGATTTTCATGATACTGAAACTGCACAGCAATTATGTCTTCAACAAACTCTTGGTGTCTGTGTGCCAATAATCTTTTCAACGTTAATGAGATGTTGCTATGCATGGTAATGCAGTCAGTTTTTAAAGGACCGATTTAGAGAATTTTAATAATCTCATTTGTTCACATTTACAGTAGACACTATGTGCACACATACACATGCTGGGGCTCTGTGCAAACCAGAGCTTGTGTCGGATTCTTTAAATCAACTTCAGGTCTGTTTACATAAGATTGTGAGACTAAAGATGGCCTACACTCCCAGCTGCTCCCGGCTGCTCCTCGAGCTTCGGCCTCTGCAGCCATTAATCAGAGAGTGATGTACAGATGGTCCCGCTCGCCTCCTTGCACCGGCCTTGTATGGTTTCTCCACCCAACCTGCATGTCAACGATAGTCAACCCATAGATGCACGCTCGAATGTGCTAAATGGAAAAAATCTTAGTGTATATATGTAATATAAATATTTATAGAGAGAGTAAGACATGACCTCTTGCATTGTTCGTGTGGTATTAGAATTACACTAGGACGTCGAGTGTAATGTGATTTATTATGTGTGCTGAGGTTATCAGTGATTTAATCCTGTGTGTACAATATAAAAATGTCTTACAGTCTATTATTAATTTTTAAAGGTTACATTACTTCTCTGAATTGCCTACTTGATAACAATCATTGTAATTCATGTTTCTCGTGTTATGTTCTCAGTGAGACTAGACCTGTTGTTAATATAATTAAGCCTGTAGCATTTTCTTGCTTCAGGCAGTGCATGCGGTGGTATGACTCTTTTCTATGCTGCTGTGCACTACGTATAGTACATAGGTTACAGTTCTATTAAGGGCTGAATTATTTGTTGGAAAGTTTTGATATTGCAAACATGATGAAAATTGTAACTCTGTAAATTAAAACAGTGCCTTTATTTGTGGTTTACATTATATTTATACATATGTTGGCTTTTGTTAAGCTCCTCACAGTGTCTAAGTAATATAGCTAGTTTAAAAAAAACAACTGTTACGTTGATTATGACGATTATTACTCCTCTCCATCCAATCTCTCACCCACTCTGTCGTTTTTATCCTTCTTTTTGGACTTCTCAGCGCAGATTACATTGCATATAAGCTGTGCAAGCAGCTGGTTGCTGTCCAATGTTTGTTTTGGTACAAAAACATGCAACAGTTGGCCTTCTTACAGGATTTGGGGGGTTGTCTACCACCAGAACTCTGTCACTCGAACTTACTCAAAAAACAAAGTTTTACTAGTTTTTAAAGATTTATGTCCTCAGTAGGAAACCAAACAGATTTTTGGAGTTTGGTCTGTTTTATAGGATTTGTTGACAATTAGAAAAACATACAATAACAGAGGTGTTATCCTTTAAATTCAAATAATGTGTACAACTCTAAAAAAATCACAATGTTTTAAATATTAACTTTATTATATTAATGATGACTGGTTGAGCCCTGTTTGCATCTCATAACTACAAAACCTTGAGTCAAGTTCAGTCTGACAGCAGCTCAGTGAAAAATACCCGTTCCTAATCAGCATCTGGAAAAAACAGATTGTCGCAAGTAATTCTCAATTTCACTGAAGTCCCCTGTCAATACAAGCACCCTTAATTACAGTATGTGTGTGTTTCTGTGTATTTATCTTCCTATGTATGTGTGTGTATCGTATCGTAAATCAAGAGCACCACACTGTACTGTAGCTACAGCCTTCTGTCTTTTTATCATTCATTTCTGTAGTTATGTTTGCAGATGACAGAGCCATATGGGCCTCATCAATCTTATCAAACCCGTCCCTTTGCATGATGAAGAGTTGTTTCACTGTTCACTGTGACTTTTTCCAACACTTTGATGTAGTCTGGCACCCATAGCCTCGAGCTTCTACAGGCTACTTTGAAAAAGAAAAAGAAGGTTTAAGGTTTTAAATGTTTGATGCCTGCTGCCCTAATGAATAGAGTTATCAGCAGTGTGGCCATAGTGTTCCGCCCATGATTACGGTACTTTTTTCCTTTGGTTTCACTTTCACTAGTTTTAGCATATAATGAATTTAGATATTAAACTAGACTACGAAGTGAACACTCTCACAATGTATTATATTAATTTACAGACATGCAAAGTTTTCGAATAATCATTCACAGCCATTTCGTTCTTCTTTCTCAAAGCTTTGTGGAAATAGCTAAAAGCTATTTTACACAGCTTTTCAAATTGGTTAAGGGAATCTGAATTACCACCAACCACTGAGATACTGTGTACAGCATGGGAAATATGGTAAATCCCTTTATGCTGAGCAAACCTCCCACGTGGTGAAATCTGTTTAAAGGTCTGAACTTTGGGTCACACAAAGATTGAAGAGAAAATGCTCTCTTCCCGCAGTTCTTGACATTAAAAGCCCCGCCAGGCGGCCCCTCTGCTCTGCAACTTTGAAACTTTGATTTGTAAAAGCCAGTTTCAAACAGCGCAGAGGTTTCAGCCTCCTACACCACACAGAGCTGTGTTTGTCCCAATGTCAGGTTGAATCAGGATTGTTGCGCCTGATGTGGGCTGGACAGCTTTGTCCCTCTCTGCAGGAGACACCGTTGCAGCACAGGAAGCTTTCCCTGCACTGCTCATTTTTACCACTACAGCCACAACTAATCATTTTTCTTTATTATAAATAAGTGTATTGATATTTTTAAAAATATTTGATATCAAAAGGGGGGAAAAAATTATGTTGATCAGTTAATCCTTTCAGCAGTATTTGCCACATAAAGATACATCCACTCTTATACCAAATACCAAATGTAAAAGGCTTTTGTGTGCATTAGTAAACTATACTGTGTTTTATGAGTATTGTCTGTAAATGTCACTGCTTTTATCTCATGAACTATGGCATGATTCAGCTTTCCCTAACCTCTTTCTTTCTTCTCTGCCTCAGTGCTCAGTCCGTGGATCTCCAGTTTTTCCCACCCGGGTGTGAGAGACTACTCCCAGCTCACCCTTGACCTGACTAGGAATGAGCTTATTGTGGGTGCCAGGTAAGAAACTGTAAATCCACTCAGCTTTTCACCCCACAGAGCACATTACTGAGAAAGTGATACCCTTTCTGACTCACTTATACAGTGCGGTTTTCGGATAATGATGCTTCTTAAGTGCTCTGCTGAGGCCTTTTTGGACCGAGTCAAGCTTTGAATTTGGCTGAAGGGATAAATTTGGAAGAATTACGTCATTCCACAGCAGTGTGTGTGTGTGCGCATGCATGTTCTTATGAGTTTACATGAGTTCAACTTTTGCCTGGTTTGACCCTAAAAACACATATACACACAAATGCCTTACCACTTGTAAAACTAAAAACAATGGTTTAAGACTGATTGACAGTCACAGTATGGCCTCTAATCGGCTTTGCTTTAAGTTGACAGCAACTAAAATGGCCTGTCTCTTCTCTGATACTTAATTTGCATTATTAAACAAATTTTCTCACATCTCCTTTTCCTCTCTCCTCTATCCAGGAACTACCTGTTCAGACTGGACCTCAGTAACATGTCGCTGATACAGGTAGGCATGCTAATGTATCTTTATCTCTGCTTTTTTCTGGTGGTTTTAAAGTTATTATTTTCTGGCAGTTTTTCAAAACTGAAAAGTTTGAAATTTTTTTTAACCACATGTCAGATTTGATGCTAAAAATGCTTTTTAAAACAAAGTAATAATAATGCAGCAGCTCCTCTTAAAAATACAGGTTTTAGGTTTAGGTTTAGGTTTAGGTTTAGGATAAGAACTCAGGTTTTGGCTGGGGTCAGTCAGAAAAAGGTCCATAAAAGGTTGGTCAGTGCCAGCTTGTGTTTGTGTGTGTGTGTGTGTTATGTCCTGGTAGAGAAAAACACAGAGCCACAGATCTCATTCAACTATTATAAGTTTGTAACGACTTGATGACTTCTGGTGGGCGTAAACATCATCTGATTAGATGCTTTGGGAACAGCACAGAAATCTAACAGAAAGCGTTATATGAGCCTCAAGCAGAACCTTCGTAACACAGCTGTATATTACTGCTTTGATTAACTATTAAACCGAACATGTTTTCTGACGCTACAAAGACAGTTTTTTGTTAATGAGACAAACTTTTGGAGCAACAAAACAGCGGGCGCACAGTCCTTTCCTCTGTTGACTTTTTCTTTCATCCTATTCCCAGAATCTGTTAAAAGCATCTTCACAACTGTCCTGTGTGTTGAACCTAGCCTCTTAATTTCGTTTCATCAGTTTTTATGTCTTATGTTTTTCACTCGAAAACATAATGCCCAGAATAAATTTTGCCCACTTTAGATTTCTCGTATAAACGTGATATGATCACATTTATATAATGTATATATAAAGAACTTGGTGTAAAAAATACCACTGTCTCTTTATATATTGCATGTTTTGTTCTTATTGTGTTGGCTTGTCACTTTACATTTCAATGTACATCCTGTGGTGTGGTTCTTTGCAAAAAAATTGCATCTAACATGAGTAGAATATTGCTTATCACTGTGTTATGTAACAGTTTAATGAGGTGGCCAAATTCAGTAACAAATGACAATACAATAAAAGGAGTTTGGGGGCTTTGAACTGTTTAAAAGATCAATAGACGCATATGTGGTAGAGGCACAAGTGGAAAACATTTTCAGCACCTCGTTGACTGATTTTATTGACATTTTTGACATGGTTGGCGGTAATGTGACATCTCTCTCCTTTGATTTTCTGTCAGTAAAGTTGAAGTCTCCGCAGATGGTGCTTTATGTCTGCTGAGCCAAGCCAGCCATCTAACTACAGACTTATTCTTCTATTTATTCTGAATATAACTGCTTGTTAACTAGAACAAGAAATGTAAAACACATTCCCATATCAGGGATATGGCCAAACCCCTGTTGTGTTATAAAAGTTAATGATAGGGATGTTTATTTACATGACAATTTAAATTACCTTCTGGAGAAGAGTGCATGCCGAGGTAAGAATCAACATAAATATTTTTGTATTATTCTCCATGTTGCAGAGGATATAATTAAATTGTAGGCTCGTGTTGAGAGTATGCACATAGACACTTGCATTATTATGTTTCTTCTGCCTGTGGGCGCAATGTGTGTGTTTTGTGAGAGGTCTGTGGTGATGTGAGTGTTGTGCAGAAAAGTAGCTTCGCTATAGTGTTAGCTCTGGGGCACAGGGTTGCTGTACGGTTGCATCAGGCATCACAAATGACAATAACTCTCTGTGGGACTTTGTATCTAAACCAGGTATATGACTGTCACTGAGTAAATGTCTTCATATAATGTGGAGTACAGTGCAGTTTCCATGCTTCAAATGACTGCAGGATATCTTCACTTCAGTTTGCCAAATTTTTCCACTGCTGCGAGGCAAATTTAATTACATATTCTGTTATAGCTAACGTAATTTCTTTTAACCCTGTAAAGTATGTAAGTAAAGAGGACAGGAGTGTAAAGCATAATAACACACTATGTACTCTCGCTCAATAAAAACAGCAGTGATACATCTTTATTCACTGAGCTGGTGCTGGTGGTTTTTAGCCCATTAAATTACACGCCTTGCCTACTTTTTTAAACATGTAAATTTTTCCAATGCAGATCCCATGTAATGAGACTGATTTGCCACTTTCTGTGCAAACACTGGTTTGAAGATAGGAATCTTGCTGAAATCTGTCAGTGTGAACCTTAGTGTGCTGTCATATTTTTTGGTGCTCTGACATTTGAGATTGAGAATTAGCTGCTGAAAAACATGCAAGCTGCATTGTTGGATAGTAAAAACAGCATGGATACTGCAAATTTGTTGATTCTTGCTGTACAATACTTTGCTTCTTTAGTGTCTGATTTTCCACAAATGCATGAACACAAATGTCTGTTTTGAATAGTTCTTAACTGCATCTGCAGCATCGTGTGACAATAACTTTATAATGTAACTTTGACAAAAAAAGTAGACTAGGATGAAATGTTCACTGCGATGTAGTAAGGTGAAAGTGTACTGATGTGTACTGAAATAAAGGTAAAGAGATAGGAAGTCAATCTAAAAATGCACGGTGTGCTTTCAGGAACAGTTGGCAGATTCATTGTTAATAGGTTGATCATGTTAACCACCAGCACAGTTTTTTTGATGGGGGAAAAATTACTTTCTCTATCCAGATCACCAACATTGGCCTTTTGTTCCCCGGCTTGTGTAACCCTTGTTTCAATTCTTTTTAAAGTAACCAAGAGTAGCTTACAATTTGTAGCATCAGTTACATTATTATTTCAAGGACAACGACCTACATTATTTTACTCTACATTTCCCTACAGGATGAAAGCACATCACCAGACTCGACTTTTCCTGACAAAGTCCCCTTTCACCGCAGCCACGTCTGAATGACATGATGTGTACAGCTGCCACCCGTGTGTCACTGTCGATATCAATGCGCCCTTTGTCTGCGTGTCCTAGTTGTCTCATTTTGGAGGACAGAAGTTGACTTATGAGGGTTTTCATTTGTTTTCACCCCAGTCATGTTGTTCTCTGCAGCTCTATGAAGCTGCTCTCTTTGTTCTGAAATCTGCATCTGCCATCTTAACATCCTTTATGACATGTAGGAAGCATACACACACATACAGTGAGTGTACACACAAATACTGCACACATGCACTCAAATGTACTACCTACATTTTCTACATTTGTCTTTCTCCCTCACACACGCCTACACACACATCCTCAGCTTATTGTGAGCTATAGGGACAAATGAGGTAGATCCTTCTTCACTCTGGCCAATGCGGAGGTGTCATCCGTGATGCCAAGGCTGAAATCAATGAGAACATTATACAAACTGCCCAGTGAAGCAGAGAGGAGGGTCTGTACCCCCATGCTCATTTGCCAGTAAACGAAAGCTGTCCAAAGTGACGGAGGAGGGCAGCATCTTAAAATACTCCCTTTCTTTTGTTGTATAACCGACTGGAAAACAAACCCAAATCTCCCACTTGCCAGTCCAAGCCTCTGCTTCAACATCAAAGGCTCATTTCTCTGAGGCATTTAGTTTAGATTCCTCAACCAGTTTGAACCATGTTTCTTAAATATCCAAACCACCTGCCAGAGGCTGAGGCTGTTTTCACACTGGGTTTGTTTGTTTCAGGCCAAACTTGAGTTCAGTTGTCTGCACTCCCTCATGAGCCTCGGTTTTCCTCATCAAAGGGTAGCCTAGGAAATGATGTCATCACCTGTTTTGGTCCAATGTATAGTTAAAGGATAGGTGGCCATACAATGTATGGTAGACGTATTACATTACATTGTTTACACAGAGTTTTCAGTCTGTGACGGCAAATCAGCAAACAGTTGTTATTTTGTTGAGTGGTAGCTAGGCTGCTCTCGTAGTGACAGAGTAGCAATTATAAATCAGTTGACTAATTTATTTTGTTCAGTTCAGTGCATGTTACATGTTTATTGATGTTACTGATGTTGGAGTTGTTTTTATGGTAATTTATTCATTTTTCAAATATAAACTGAAACTTGGCAAAACATGAAAGCATCAATATTGCAAACTGCACTGCAAGTAGGTTATCAACAACAAAATAAATTATAAAAGGAGAAATAGAAAGAAAAAAGTAATGATTTTAATACAGCAGTGGTACACCATTAATCATCTATGATGTACATAGTCCTAAAGAAAATTATAACGACACAGTTTTGACTTTAGACTGGTTGCCAGGTATCAAAGATTGTCATTTCCCTCTGAAACCCAGTGAAACTTTCCATTGGTGTGACCTTGTATTTTTTTAATGTATCACTGCTATATAGTTGGGGACTTTTTTTTAATCCCCTGGAGCAAAATGCACCGTCTCACTAATAAAAGAAGCTGTGTTGATAAAGTACAGTACAGTAAAGTAAAGCCCAGAGGTAAAGTGCAAGTATGTTGTTAAATTTTAAGCTGAACGATCGTATTACAACCAACATCGGTGCTCACATTATTAAGCATTTCTGTTAATGGTTCATGTCATGATATAAAGCTTTTGATTATTCTGTTTAGCCTGGGATTTTTTGTAGATTCAGTGTGGTTTGCTACAAGACCATTCCTATAAGGTTAGTACTGTAGGTCTGCAACCACCTGCCTGCTACAGATGAGGTGAGGGGAACATTAACTATACTGCTGGGCGTTATAGTTTCCTATGGGAATATGGATTGTGTAATGATTACTCACAAACAGTATCACAGTTTGACTTTAACTGTTCATCAATGGATCCCCTCGTTCAGATGAATTTGGATATTATTTGATGGTCCACACTCTTGTTGTACTCCATGGAAGGTAGTTTTACACTTTTTTCTTCCCTTTTCTTGTACCTGTCACAGAAGACAAAACCACTTTTAGAAAAGTCACTTTACAACAGTGCTCTCACAGCCACTTAAAAAACGAAACATACTGTCTACTTCTAAAGTCAAAGATTCAGCCAGTGTGAAAGTTAACAGCTCCTCTCAGGAACCAAGTCAACCTGTGGAAATGGACCCAGCCCTGTGGGACGCAAAGCATGACTGGCCCTACCTTAGAATAAAGGCCGTCCATT